AGTGAGACTATGTCTCAAAACATAAAAAAAAAATCCAACAAGAGAGGAAGTGAAAGAACAGTCAGAGTACCTTTTAAGGCTATAGAAAAGTAATACTGAAGAGGAAGTCATATTTATCTTCGGAAAACCCAACAGGAACGGTTTAAGACACCAATCACTGTGCTTACCTTTTTGCTATTTTGGGGCATAAAGGATATTTACATTTTAAATTATTTATTTATTTTTGGGTTCTTGAGGCCCAGTCTCACTGTGTGGCGTTGAAGTCACTATGTAATTCAAGGCCACCCTCCCGCCTCAGCCTCCGGAGTGTTGGGATTACAGGCGTCCACCACTGTGCCGGCTTCTGTAGGACATTTTTAGAGGATATACCCGTGAGAGGTATAACTGAACGGGTCCTGAAAGGTCACAAACTGGCATTCTACCGTCCAGCTGCACTTTACCCCTGGTTGGGAGTAGCAGATGCCTGCCATCCCAACACTTGGGAGGCTGAGGCAGGAGGATCACTGTGAGTTCAAGGCCAGCCTGGGCTACAAAGTGAGTTCAGGATCAGCCTGAACCATGTGGCCCTGCCTGAAAAGAAGAGAGGAGAGGCGGGGTGAGGAGAGGAGAGGAGAATTCTGTTCTAGTCCTCCCATTTTGAGGGAGGGGTACTGAGGACTGACCCCAGGGCCTTCACACTGACCTACATCTCCGGCCGTCACACCTGGCTTCCTGGTCTGCTCCGTCAGGCTGCCACGCCTCCCAGTGGGCAGCGGCTGATGGCTGACGGGGAGGCCTGGAGGGGCCCGAGGGTGCTGGGCTGGCTGGGCCGGGCAGGCGGAAGGACAGAAGCGGACCTTTCACCACAGTGAGGGTCCAGGGTGCTGCTGAGCCCCAGGGGAGAGAGGCAGCACGGAGGTCAGCACCGCGGGCGGCTACAGCCAGGAGGACAGGCACACAGGAAATGCCCACGGCTGCCGGGGACTCGGTGCCCAGCCCCGGATGCCCCAGACTGTCCTCGCCTTCCTGGAACTGAGCTTGGGAGAGAGACCCGCAGACGCAGCTCCTGCTGTCCCCGAAGGCCTTCTCCCCAGGGGCGTCCCCGCCCTCTGGTTCTGATTGGATCCTGCAGGGACTCACAGCCCCAAGGGCCGCGGGCGGCAGGAATGGGTCTGTTGGCCACTGGGCCTGTGGACCAAAGGGCACAGGGCCATGTAGCGCCACCTATGACTTCCTGGACAGCCGGCCCTCGCCTTTTGGGGACTCAGGGACCACACCAGTGTCCTGTTGTGACTATGTTGACCAGCCCTGGGGACGTGCACCCTGTATAGCTTTTCCCAAACTAAACCTTACCACACCACGAACATCACTGGAAATGCTCCCCTTTTAATTAATTAATTAATTTCCCGAGACAAGATCTTGCTATACAGTTGCGGCTGATACTCTATACTCGATGTTGCTCAGGCTGGCTTTGAACTCGCAGCAATCCTCCTGCCTCAGCCTCCTGAACACTGGGATTTCAGGCATGCGCCATAGAAATGCTACTTTTATCTTTCTCTTTTCTTCTTTCAGTCCTGGGGACGGAACCCAGGGCCGGTGCATGCAAGGCGAGTGCTCCACCACCGACTTCCATCTCCAGCCGGAAATGCTCCTTGTAACACAAGACCCTCCGCCAGGGATGGTGGTGCTCGGCTCTGAGAGGCTGAGGGGGAAGGGATCGCAAGTTTGAGCTCAGCGTGGGCAACGTGGACACTTGAGACTGTCTCAAAATAAAAAATAAAAAGGCCGGACAGGTTCCTGGGTTCAATCCCTGGTACCAAGTAGAGGAATAAACCGGCTTCTTGCAGACACAGGGTTTAATGTGCTGCTTCCTGCCCGGCGCCGTGCAGGAGGCGCCAGGGGACGCGTCGGGAGCCGGGGCTGAGGATCAGGTGTCCCAGGACAGAGGCTTCTGCTCGGGGAGACTGAGCCTCCCGCTGCTCTGCTCCCGCTCGGAGCTTCAGGGAGTCTCCAGGGGCCCCGCTTTTCAGCCCCACAATGGAGATGGGGACAAAGCAGACAAGAGAGTCTGAGGCGACGGAGCACGGAGCAGGGCAGGGCCAGAGGAAGCCGCAGAGCCCGGTGTGACCTCGCCGGGATGAGTGGCGGGGGAGCGGGAGGGGGCACCCCGTCTGCTACAGGGGACCCGGGGGCTGCAGGGCGGTTCAGAGACGCGGGGGAGCAGGAAAGGAGACGCTGTGTGCAGCAGCGCTTTCGCCGTTGCTGCTCCTGGCTGTGCGTGGTTTTCTGAGCCAGGGCCCTGCTACGTACGCGGCTCAGGCTGCACTTAAATCACGGTGTGGCCCGGGCTGGCCTCGAGTCCCTGACGGTCCCCTTGCCTCAGCCCCCTGGGAGCTGGATTCCACATTTATTCGTGCCTCAGCTCACGGGTGGGCTCCCCGGCGGAGAAGCCTCAGGGCACACAGCTCAGGCCAGGAGTGAAGGGCCTGGCACGGACCCCGGCGCCGCCCCGCCTGCTCCCTGTCAACGCCTGCAGCCTCTGGACCGAACTCAGCTCCACCGCACAGAACCCTTTCAGGCCTGGTGAACCTACAGGAAACACGGGGCGACTAACGGCCCTGGGACGCCTGGCTCATCCCAGGAAGGGACGGAAGGGACGGGCAGGGCACCCAGGAACCCTTCCTACCTCTTAATGAGGTTCGGGGTCTCCTCTAAAACAAGAATGGACAAAAAAGGCCTGACAGTGACAGCTACAAATGTTTTGTTCTTTTTCTTTTCTGTGTTTTTGTATGACAGGGTCTTGATATGAAGCTCAGGCTGGCCTGGAGCTCCCAGCGATCCTCCTGCCTCAGCCTCCCAGGTGCTGGAATTACAGGCGTGGCCCCCACAGCCGGCTCCAATGACAGCTTTTACAGTTTTACTGTAGGCAAGGGATCAGACTGAGTTTAAAGAAAAGCTCACAGCTGGAGCACCAGGCCATGCCTGCAGGTATTAGATCACAAGACTGCCACGGATCGGCTCTGAGGTGCCGCCTACCGCCTGGCAAGGTCCCGAGTTCGAAGTAAATAAATAAGCCACAAAGGTCAACAAAGCAAGACACAGCACGGAGCCGGCTGCAGTAGTGCACAACTGAAATCCCAGCAACCAGGAGGCTGAGGCAGGAAGACTGCCCTGAGTTTGAGGCTAATCTGAACTGCATAGCAAGAGAATCTCAAAAACAAACCAGCAGGGACCTGAGTTTGATCCCTGGTACCAAAAAAGAAAAAAAGAATGTGCAGCACAGATGGGAGAGGAATGACGGGGGGAGGTGTCCTGGGACCCCATCCTCTGCGACGAGACAGACCCCACACCCCAGAGGCACAGGTAGGGACGGAGGGCAGGTGCAGCGGACGCCCCCACTCCGGCCAAGTGTACAGCCAGGGTTATCAGGGCCATTTAATATCACGGGGCTTAGGCCTGCACGCTAGCCCTCTCGGAGGCCGAGGCAGGAAGATCACTAGTTATAGCCCAGCCAGGGCAACTTAATGCGACCGTCTCAAAATTTTAGAAAAACTGAAAACTGTGGTAAGAATGTAGTGCGATGTAAAAGCCCTGGGTTCAACCCCAGTGCGGACTAAAAGAGCCAGGTGTGTGGCGCGCGCCTGAAGTCTCAGCCCCGGGGAGGCCAAGGCAGAGGGACAGGTGTGAGGTCAGCAGGGCCTACAAGGCCAGCCTGAGGTACAGGCTTTTATTATTATGTTGTCTTAAATAAAAACAAAAAGAAGAAAAATGATAGTGCTTTAACTGCCACATTATGAGACCCTTCAAGGTGTTTGTTTATTTGTATTTTTAGAGACAGGGCTGGCCTTGAACTTGTGATCCACCTGCCTCAGCCTCCCAGGTATCTGGGATTATAGGTGTGGGCCCCCTGCCTGGCTCTGGGCCTCTCCAAAATAATGGTACCTGTTACAGAGGAGAAAAGGAGAGAGCTTGTGCGGCTTCACAGTCAAACACCACAAACGTGCGCTCGTTACTGGCATTCCGTGCAGTATTTCCAAAGCCTTGGCATCTTCTAAGATGCCGCTTTAATTTAATTACAGAAGCTTCCCAGAACACAGTGCCATGGATCCTCCCAACAAAACATCTGACTCAGAGGCCTGGCCTGGTAATTCTTCAAATAAAAGGATGCTATAAATTACCAGATGCTATTTAATGCAGATCGGGACCACTGATAATTTCCTCCACAAATTACTAGCATTTTTGATTTAAAAAAGGAAACAGAAGGCAAAAAGCCCAACTATGAAAAAGGACAGGCAGCTAGCAGAGTGTGAGATATGGGACCTGCTCCCAGGACGCCAAGGAGCCCAGGAGCCGCAGGGCCCGGACCCAGTGCTGCCCCTGCCTTCCGCCCTCCGCCCTCCGCCCTCCCGCTGTACTAAGCCGCTGCACGGCCGCTGCGCCAGGCACAAGGTGGACAGGAAAACCCTGCCCTTGGGGAGTCTGAGGTGCAAGAAAAACAAGCAGCAAACAGGGAAAGCTGCTAGCTGCTAAATCAGGTGCGGTGGCGCACGCCTGCCATCCCAGCACTCGGGAGGCTGAGGCAGGAGGATCACAGAGTCTGAGGCCAGCCTGGGCTGCACAGAGAGACCCTGTCTCAACACAAACAAATGCCAGCTGCCGGGAGCCAGTGCAGGAGAACAGCGTGTGCTAAGGGTGCGCAGGGCCCTGGTTTCCATCGCTAGCAACCTCTCCCCAGGGGAGAGAAGCTAGCTACGGGTAAGCACAGGGGAAAATGTGGACACAGGGGAAGGTGTCGTGAGAATGGGGTGGCGAAGGGGAGGCGGACAGGGGCCTCTGGGCAGGAAGGACTTTGTTAAGGAGGTGACAGTCTGGACAAGTCAGGAGTGTCCCAGGAGAGAAGCGGAAAGGACCCAAAGGAGAGAAGCCATGCCAAGGTCCTGGGGCCACCGAGCTGGTGTGCAAGGGGGTCCTGGTGCTGGGGAGGAATCAGGAGGGAGGAGGGGCTGCGCTGAGGGCCTCTGTCCCAGGACTCATTGCGCAGACAGAACCAGGGTTTGCTACTAAGCAGGCGCACGGTTCTGTTATGGACTTGGCCTAACACTGAGCTCCCCAGGTGGGGAAAGGTCAGGGAGACACACGGGAGCAGAGGTCAGGACAACAGAGAGGAAGAGCCAAGCTCTGCGGCGGTGAGGGAAGGCTGGCAACCAGTGCTGTGCTTGGGTTCACTGGATTCGCTTTCTCTTTTCTGAGACAGGGAATGCTAAACCACTGAACTACCCAGGCTGCGCTGGAGCTTGCAGTCTTCCTGCCTCAGCCTCCCAGAATGCTGGGAATACTCCTTGGTGAGTTTCACAGGGTCTGGGAGACTCTTGAGATTGTATGTGGCGACGTAGACATTTTTTTGTTTTTTGACACAGGGTCTTGCTCTGTCGTTCAAGCTGGCCTTGGACTCACTGCGTAGCCCAGACTGCCCTCAAATCTGAAGTGATCTGCCTGCCTCAGCCTCCCAAGTGCAGGGATTAGCAGCTTGTGCCAGACCAGAAACATTATTTATCTGGTTCTCAGAAGCGTTGCTTTAGTCGGAGCCCCGGCGGGGGTGTCCCCTTGCCCGAGGTCTGTCCGCTAGGAAGGGAGGCCAGGGCAGTTACCGCTTTGCGCTCCTGCTTCAGCTCCTGGACGTAGCGGGCCAGGTCCACCACGATCTGCGCCGTCATGTTCTCAGAGATGACCTCGTGCTGCCCGGCGTAGTCGCTGGTCTCGTGCAGGGTGGACAGGAAGGCTTGGCACGATGTGTACCTGGGGACGGAGCAGAGCTCGGCTCCTTGGAAACCTGGCCCATCCCGCACCTCCCCAGCCGGGGAAGAGTAATCAAAGCTGGGTCAGTAGCACTGACTTCCCATGGGGCCGGTGGTTCTCACACCTCTCCAGTTCTCAGCAAAATGGCTCAGAGTTAATTACAACCATGCTTCCCATTTTAGTTCACTTTGGCAATGCTTAGCGTAGACACCATCCAAACACCTACACACGCTGTGCGCCAACCTTGCCGGATCAGATGTCCTATACAATCCCGGCGCTCGGGAGGCTGAGGCAGGAGGAGTGCCACGAGTCCACACCAGCCTGGGCGACACTGAGTTCAAGGCCAGCCTGAACCAAATGCAAGACCCTGTTGCCAAAACCCAAAGTAACCTTCTATCCATGTGTCACAGACATAAAACTTTCGGGCTGGCTCTGCTGAGGTGCTTTCCCTGCAGAGGAAACAGATTTTCTGGCTGAGTGAACAGCTGCTGTTACAGAAGCCATCGAACCCTGAACTCTGGGGAGCGTCTGCGCCTCCTTAGACTGTGAGTTGCGATTTCCCTCACGCCTTTCACGGGAATAGGCGGGGCAGGACCAGCAGCTCCATATACAATGAGCTCATTAAACTTCTCTCCTTCATCTCCCCCAATTTAATAACTGACACGAATTGGAGCGTAGAGTGAGACCTTTTCAATTTTGTGTTTTTGAGACAGGGTCTCGCTTCATAATTCAGCTGGCCTTGAACTCACGGAGATCCTCCTGCTTCGGCCTCCTGAGTGCTGTGATGACAGGTGTGCGCCACCGTGCCTGGCAGCCTATTTTTACAGATTTGCTGTCCTCCAGTCCCCTGTGCGTCCCAACCAGGGCATGAAAACATCCCCACCAATGCCCACTGACGCACATACTTGTATTCTTCCTCCTCCTTGGAGTTCTTTTTTGGTTGGTATTTCTTCGAAAGATTCCTAAAACAAGAATGCAGACATAGCGGCTGATTTAAAAAGATAACTGGGAAATCAGGAAAGATGGTACCAGTGCTTTGTTTACAAGCTTTTGCAACATGCGCGCAAGCGCGCGCACACACACACACACACACACACACACACACACACCTCCCCACCCCCAGCGTGGGCTGAGGCTCCCACTGGGGCAGCCTCTGACCTCTGACCTCTGACCTCCACGGGCAGAGCAAATCAGAACCAGAAATGGTGACAGGGGTCATTTCCCCAGGGGCTGGGCCTGGAGCCGTTCTTCCCACCAGGCGGCCCCTCCTGCCCCAAATCCAGCAAAACTGTGCCTAACTGTTTAGAGTGAAAGCCCGGGTGCCGAGGCGTGTTTCTGGGGCAGGGGCTGGCACCTGGGAGCTGTCACACATGGAGCCAAGAACCTGGCCTGGCAGATGGCGGGGAAGTCGGGCCTGCTGTCCACCATCTGTCCGCGCTCTGATTCCCGACAGAGGCCTGCAGAGGTTTCTTTTTTGTTTGCTTGTTTGTTTGTTTCTTTCTTTTTTTTTTTTTTTTTTTTTTTTTTTTTTTTTTTTTTT